ATCTAAAAATGAAAATCTAAATTATTTAAACTACAAATATATTTGTACAAGGTGCATAGTTCTTATTTATATTTACCATTTTTTTAAATATAAAAATTATATAAATAGATTTTATATAAAACGTGCATCGCACGAATTATAACCTTGTTATACACTAAACCGAGATAATTTTGATTCACATAATTTCCATATCCGTTATAAAATATGTTTTATATATCTATTACTCCGTATGACATATCTTTAAATAAGATAAGACACCATATTTTATTTTGTAAAAATATTTATATATTTTAAATAAGGTAAATTTGTAACAATATTTAAAAAAAAAAAAATATTTGATGAATCCCTTAAATATAAAATATTATCTTTTAAAATTAGATAACATAACGAATTAGAGGAAATTAACAATTTATTTTAAAAATAAAAATATTAAATGATATAATACGGACCTGTTCACATTTACTTAATTTCAGTTCAGTTCTGTTAAGCTCCAATCAGTTCAGTTCAGCTCCTAATTTTCCTCTCTCATAAAATATTCATTTCAGCTCAGTTCAGTTCAGTTTAGTTTAGTTCAGTTCAGCTCCAATCAGTTCACTTAAGTTCAGCTTAGTTCAGTAAATGTGAACATGCCCTACATACAAACAATCAATATTTGTTTTAAAAAATACAAACAAACTGTGCATCGCATGGGTTTCATCTTGTCTAATACCATTATGAATTTATTTGTTTCATTAATGGTTGACAATATTTTACATATGTAATTAGCCCATGTATTAGCTGTTAGTTGAAACGAACACTACAAGAGGGGGGGTGGATTGTAGTTGAGTTCCTAGTGACTACTTTTGCAAAATATAAAACAGAATATAAAGGAACTTTGCAATGCACACATGATTTTACGAGGAAACCTTCCAGGGCCCAAGTGGAAGTAAAACCTAGACCCTTTTAAGGAATTTCCAGATAAAAACCAATCCACTATAATAGGGCAAACCTCAAGTTACAAACCTATTGTATGACATACCTTTACTCACAAGTTTCAGATTGAACCTGCTACACTTGAATTCACTCGCACTATCACAGTAGTACCTCACAGCTTTTACACTCAAAGCTATCTTACCTGTATGCAATATAAATTTCATACACACACACACCCAATAACCCAGCCAATTACAGAAAATATAACATCTAGAATATGTTAGGCAAGCAATGCACAAAACCCGAAACAATTATGACAAGATTAAAAGGGTGGCAAACTTACACAAATTAAGCTCAGAGATTTCTTCACGCAAAACTCACAAAAAACTTATGAAAATGTGATCTCTACTATTTATACAAGATTAACTCATATAGCAAGTAGGGTTTTTCAAAAGATAATTAAGTTAATTTAACTAAATCACAAAATAAAGTTTTATGTAAATATTTTAAGAGAAAATCTTTTCGGAAAATAAGATAAGATAAGTTATAGCAAAAACAATAATATCTTTTGTTAAAAACAGATTTTAAGAAATAAATTATCTCGAAAATCTTTTCTTAAAATCTATCTTTTATCTTTTTCCGTTTAATTAAATTTGCCAATTATCTTGTCATGCTTCTAATAAGTTTCGTGCATATCTACTTAACATATTTAACAATAAATCTAGAAGATAAAATCTTAACTAAATTGATATTGATGTACCCGTTTCTGTAATATTGAATTACTTGGGCTTCACGCAGACCAGGACCAAGTTCCTGTTGTCACTCTTCCTCCAGTCTTCAACTGGAACTTCGCAAACTAAGTTCCTTCCAGAAATTACTGTCTTCAGCTTGCATCCTCCAAGTTCCTGTTAGGGACATTCCTGTTAAATTAAGGAACTCAGTTCTTGTTAGAGAACTCTTCTTCTATATTGTTTGACTTTTCTTCAAAGGTCTCTTCATGTCTTCTTAGCTTAAGTTACTCTTCCACCTCCAAGGTCAACTTCACCTGTACTAATTAAACACTTATAAACCTTTATGAGTTGAGTTTGTTTTACTTGAAGTTCATCATCATCAAAACCTTTAAGGTTCAATATTAGTCCTATCTTGTTTGATTAATTATTTATATTCTTGATACTATTGAGAATGTGTCATTCTACATGTTGGGTGTGGTACAAATTTTAATTCATAGGCCCTTTGTTTGGTGGAGTATTTATACATATTCTAGAAACTTACAGAAAAATTAATCAAGATTAATTCATGCTTAAATTTTCTCTAGAATTATCTACTTAATCGTTCTAAAGAATTTTTGACATTAGAAGCAACTAGAATATATGGTTCGTGAACAATTTAGAATATTATGGCTACTAGATTGATGAAGGAAAGTCTGGAATCTGTTAGACATTTCTTCCAAGATTCATCTTCAACTATAAATAGGTCATGTGCATTAATTTCAATCAAGGCATACATACACAAGAAGTCATAATTATATAGATTCTTAAACAATCAATCTACTATTTTGTACCACTATAATTTCATAATTAGTAATTATAGTTCGCTCTACCTATTGTTTTTAGATTGAAACATTTAGTTGCAGATTTAGTTAGCATGTTAGATTTGGTTATGTATCGTCTATTGATAATTATATGATAGTGCGTGTATGATGTTATTTAAGAATTCGTTACATATTGTGTATCTTTTGAACACTAGTTTATGTAATGAGACAGCTTTGATACATAAATATGTATTATGTAATGATGTTTAATATATCAAGCAAAAACCTCGACGTTTGTCGATAGCAGTAAGGAAATTATTGATGATCTTAGGATTCACAATGTTTAGTCGATGAAACACCATGATGATCGATATTTCATATTTTGATGTGTAACAGAGGTAAATTTAGATATGTAACTTATCTATCAACTGATTTCATTGCACTCAAGATATTGGAATGTGTCCGAACATAAATTAAAGTATTCTATTGATATCTAGTAGCTACCTTATCTCGTTGGTATATATCTATTCCTTTTATGAAAATTTTGTTTTGTAAAAGGTTAGCAATTTTACCCAAATAAAAGTAAAAATGACACAGTTGAGAGTAATAATGACAATAGATTGGCATTTTGATTTAGATGAAACTTCACCCAAATGCATTCGCTCAATTTCATACATACACACTCGCCTAAAACCCATCATCTACTCTAAGTGGAAACTCCATTTAGGTTTGCGATTTGCAATTCCTTAAACTACACAATATAATATGTGATTTTAAATATTATTATTTTAGAGAGAGAAATATGGATGATAATTTATTTATGAATATTGAGATTATGCATCATTCATGTGTAAGAAATAAATAGTCATAAATTCATATACACTTGGTGGCACATCGATTCCCTCTAAACACTTTTGATAGATTTATATGGTTTCACAATCTGCATTTTTATTAACAATGTTTCTTGGTGTAAATACTAGCACTAATTATAGGGAAAAATATACATTACTCAAATCTTTAATTTTGAGATTATTAAGAGTGACAATTTTTTTTTTCCTTTCTCGCTTTGCAGTATAATCTTTCTGATGCAAACAAATTAAATGCGCGAATTTAACAGTTCAATCTACGCATTATTTACATATCGAAGCTATTCAGAACATACAATCGATTTTCTTTTCCTTTCATATGTACACTTTCATCACGTCGAGAAGCAAACCAACTTTGAATTTCTTAACTTATTCCAACAATTATTTGCCTTTTATCATCATTGAGAGAAATCCATGTATTTTCACAATAAGCAACTCCTTTCACGGTACAATCTGCGCTTTTATTTATCATTATTTTAGAAAAGCAAATTTGGTAGCTAAATTTACTACTCACTCTAAACACAATTTACGTCTTTGCAATATTGAGATCATACATTAAGCATGTTTTAGGAAAAAATATAGTCCTACATTCGACACATTATTTACCTAGTGACACTATTAATAGCGGTTTCCTATTTTCACACCTCGCACTTTTATTAACAATATATTAGCAAAATGAATAAATTCACAAAATTTAAAACATAATCTACACATTCTTACATTTAATTATGACATTATTAAAAGTGAAATCAATTATTATGTTTTTTTTCTTTAGATTGGGTAATGGATATAAATGGCTACAATAGACGCGTATAATGTAAAACGAGTAGAAGCCTCGACGTTTATTTATTAATGGCAGTAAGGTGTAACTAGAATTTTATGATTTCATGGATTGGCCCGGGGATTGATTTGTTATGATATTTTTTGGAAGATTTTTGATAGTATTTGATTTTTTGAAAGTTATGTGATTATAATAAAAGACGGAGTGGTTTTATTTTAGCCTTTTTTTAAGGTCATTTTAAGGGAACACAACGACCTTCTCTTAGCTTATTTAATAGATCGAGATTTATATTTTGACACATTTTAGAACGATGTATGTTTCCTTTCATAATAGTATACAATGCAGTTTAAGCAAAATCTTAGAAAAGCAATACAACCACGGATTTTACAACAAAATTAAAAAAAAAATATTTACCTCCGGACACCATGGAGAGCTTTATTAAATTATTTTCACAAAAAGCAGTTTTATTATTGTCCTATAAGAAGCAATTCAATTTTTTTTTTTTTAATTTCACACATTTCACACTACTCATTTTTAGAGTTTGTTGTGCGTAATGTACATTTTTTATTTTTTATTTCTTATTTTTTGGAAGGGAAATATCCATTTTCTTAATATATTTAATTCCTTAACATTGAAGGGAAATATACAATTTTATAATTTCGTCAGCAGTGACGTTTTTAGGTCCTGTCTACTCTACAAACTTGACCTTGACCATGACCTAATTCTACCCTAATCCCAAGAACAACATCATAATATAAATAGTCTCTCTCTTTCTTCTTTCACTGTCATTTTCATTACAAGCCGCCACCCTAAACCTTGCACTCAATCCTCAAATTCAGCATTCTCAATTTTTTTTTTTTTTTTTGGGTGTTTTGATTTTGCAGGCCAGTTTTAGATCTAGCGTTGAAAGATGACGATCGCCTCATCGCCAAAGAAATTGAAGCTTGAACCAACATTCACACCTCTTCCGGATCATCTCATCGAGGAAAACATCCTAATAAGACTTGAGGTGAAACCTCTAATTCGCCTCGCAGGCGTTTCCAAAGGATGGTCTTCCATGATATCGAGTACTAAATTCACCAAAGAGCACTTAAAACAGTGGTACCCCTCGAACGATCGATCTCTCATTGTCCAGGATGATCGTGATACAGAAGGAGAAGATAAGTATTATTTATCCTTTGATGAAAACTACAATCTGAATGAGTTTGTTGAATTGAGGAATAAATATCCGACTTATTTATTTAAACCTCTAAAGTCTTGTGTGGTGGGTTCTTGTAATGGTCTATTGTGTATGTTAAATGAGGAAACCATGCGCATCTATGTGTGGAACCCTATGACTAATGTGGTCCGCGATACTATGGGTCCCGCCCCTCATTTCTGTAGGTCGGAGGATTATGAAGTGAGGTGTGTTGGATTTGGTTATGTATCGTCTATTGATGAGTATAAGATAGGGTGTTTGATGTTTTATAAGAAAACATTACTTTCTCTTGTGTTTTCATTAAAGACTGGGAGATGGGCTAAAAGGCGTCAGAGAAAAAAGCATTATAAAAAGGTGTTAGCATGTATAGATAGGGAAACCCCGGTGTTTGTTAATGATACTATTTATTGGATTTCGGATATTATAGAAGATGGGCATAGCTTCCTAATTGGATTGGATTTAGTTTATGATGATATGATATTCCTCAAAACATTCGTAAATATCCCTCAGGGATTCGCAACTGCAAAACTATGTTACCTTGTAATAGAGATTATCTTTTTCTTTGGTTAGTCGCGTTAAATTAATTGAAAAATAAGTTCTAGTACTTATGTTAGCAAAAGTTTCAATGTTTCTCATCTTGCTTAGACAAAACTAATGTTTGGATAAGTTAAAATCGGCTATACATGCATCTATCAACAAACTTCTTTGCCCTTGGTAGATTAATATGTATCCGAACACTGAATAAACCATTCTAATTGATATTTAGTAGAATGCTTAGATTATTGGCATATATGCTCTTCTTATAAAGTTTTTCTTTCGAAATAAATGGTTAACAATTTCATAGATTTGACTAACACATATATTAGTCCCAACTTAGTTTCCTCCTAATACTGTTGAGAGTAACGTGTGTCATTCTACATTATTTTCCTCCTGATATTACTGAGAGCAATATCCATTTCTTTTCACAATTTTTTCTATCATTGATCATAGTATAAGAGAGGCAAATGTAAGTAGTTGGTGATTCCATATCTTATGCTACATTTTACTAACTTTTTGGCACTGTTTAATAAGCGATATCTAATTCACAATTTATTGTAGAGAGGTGAACATGGTAGATACTTTTATTATGAGTCATGCTACAAAGCATTTACGTCTTTGCACTATTGAGCTGATGCATTATCCGTGTCTTAAAATACAATATAGTCATAAAATTTTAGCTTGGCCAACACAATATTCACCTCTTGACATTATTGAGATCAGAGTAGTATCTATTTTCACAATTCGCACTTTTATTAGCAATGTTTTAGCAAGATAAATACAGTTGCAAGTTCTATAATACAATCTACGCATTCTTACCTCTAAATTTGACATTAATAAAAGTGTCACCGTTTTCTTTCTCAATTTGCATTTTTATCATTTTTTTTTAAAAATGCGCAAATTTAATTGCACAATCTATGCAGAAGTACGGTTGGATCGGGGGACAATTTTACAATAGCTATAATAAAACTGTAGTCATAGTAAATATATACTTTTGATCTTTGTCATTTATTATTAACAGTACACATTCTATCTCAGCCACTCATGATATTAACCAAGATTGAACCAAATATTGGTTAACACTTGAAAACTTCTCATTGTGGCTATAAAAAAGGCATCCACTGTTGAGAACATGCAACAAATATCCTTTTCTTTACATAATGTACACTTTTATTACGTACAAGAAAGGAAAAAATTCATCCACTGTTGAAAGCATGCAATAAATATTCTTTTTGATATTCTTCTCATGACCAGCCAATTTTAGAACTTTTCCCTTTGTAGAAGTGGAGACAAAACAATTTTAGAATTTGTAATTAAGAGGATAGTTCATTGTCCTTACTTTCCTCACCACTTTGTTCTATTCCATCACCTATGATCTTTCCAAAATCTTCAAAACCTTATGACACAAGTAAGGGCATTTTCAATTTTCTTTTGTACCATGCGGCTATAATAAAATCTTAGATAAGCAATACAACTATAGATCTCATAACTTATTTTAAAAAAAAAATATTTTCTTTCTGACACTGTCGAGAATCCATTTATTTTCACAATTTGCAAATCTTTTAATTCTTCGTGTAATTTGCACTTTTATATATCATTATTTTGGGAAGGAAAGTAGGGCAGCTAATTTGTGGCTCATTCTACACATTTCATTTTTTGCATTTGCATTATTCATGTCTTAGAAAAAAAAACATAGTCAAAAATTCAATTTGTAACTAGGTCGACACATTATTTACCAATTCATGGCGTTATCTATATTTTCATAATCAGCACATCTATTAACAATGCTACATTCGTAAATTCTACAACACAATCCACACATTATTACGAGTTATACTCATTTCAATTTTATCATTCTCTAAGAGAAGCAAATAAATGCGAGAATTTACTACCTCAATCCACGCATTAATTACGTGATGGGATTATTGTATGTTATTATTAGATGAGAATATTGAAAAATTTTAATGTAATTTGATTGTAAGTTTGAATTTGATGCTAGCAATTATTGAATGTTATTAGATGGTATTATTGAAGAATTACCTAAATTAAATGTTATTAGATGGGATTATTGAAGATTTTAAGGTCAAATTGCTTTGTTGATTTGTCTACTGGCTAATTGGTGTGCTTTACTTAAAAGTGTCACAGATAAGGAGTACCGCCGATGAGGAGTGATAGACGTGTTGGAGTTGTTATTGATGAAGAGATAACACAACTTACACATACTTAATTTTAATTTTGACATTATTATTAAGTGACATCCTTTGCAAGCATTTTCATTCTCGATTTGCATTTTTATAATTATCTTGTGGACGCAAATAAATTTATGAATTTAGTCGCTCAATCTACACATTATTTACGCCTCACTGAGAGCATGCGATCAATATACTTTTTCTTTCATAGTGTACAGTTTTCTAGCTCATTGTCTTGCATGGATAAATCAATTTAGGTTGCATAATTATGGCATTTTATGCGTAAAAAGACTTTGTGGAAAGCATTTATGAAGTTGTACTGGCTGCGTCTTATTATTTTTAAGAACCCATGAAATAACTTAGACATAATAGAGTAATTTGGATCGGCTTTTAATAGAGAACTGAAATGCTTGGTGACACATCTTTTTCCGCTTGACACTAGGCCTGGTTATTGAACAGGGCTACCCAATGGCAAAAGGGTCGGACTTATAATTAAAGGGTTTTGAACTTTTGACCTTTTTAATTTTAATGTACAGGGCTTTAATAGGTTCATATCTTATAAGGCTTTATGGGATTTTCAATTAGAGCCCAATAACTAAAAGAAAATCTAATAGGCAACCCAATAAGAACAATGGAAATAATACTCCTACACAATTGAATACCACTATACCAGCTTCAATAGAAGCGAGCGCTTACTCTCTCTCCTCCATTGAAGTCACTTCTCGGTTTTCTCTCTTCCATTGAAGCAGTTTCGAAGTTAAGATGATTTTGGTTTTTTTTTTTTTTTTTTATTATTATTATTATAAGTTATCGAATATAAATTTTACAATCTAGTGGAATGTTTGCTTATTTAATTTTATTTTAGAAATCACATCGTTATATTTTGTTGAGATTTTAGGGGTTAGAATTCTTGATTTTTCATACATGAATTGATGATTTTATTGTTACTTGAAGAAAATGCAAAGAGCCCAATCGGATAATACATTTTCATTCCTAATTTCAATGAATCAAGCAATATTATGATTTCAGAGCAGCAAACCTTAAGGATTTGAGACACTTTTCCATCTGTTAGATGCCTTATCAAAGACATTAATATGCCACATTTGACAAAAGTCTATTTGAAATAGATATATGTAAATTAATAATTGGTATACACTAGACCCTAGTGTAGGTACCATACCCTACACCCCCCCTCTAAACGATGTGTTTAACAATCTCCCTCATATACCCACTTTCTGCAATTGTACAGTAAAAATCAAACCACCATTTATCTTTTTTCACTTTCTCTCTCCTCACCCATTTTATGCATTTTCTCTCTCTACACCCATTTTCAGCATTTTCTAATCCAAAATTTTCAACAAACTTTGCGACAAATTATCCAAAAAAGTTGTTCAACTGCTACATACTTCAACAAATCAAGGTCGAAATTCAAAGGAGTAAGTGATTTTGTTCATATTTAATTCGAAAAAGAGTATAAACCCTAATTTTTATAATTTATTGTTACAATTATGTTACAGGAACATTTACTATTTTTAGTTTTAAAACTAGTAATTTGAACAAGTACATTTTGAATTTTGAGTATGAAATATTTCATTTTTTTTATTGCAGTATGAAGGAAATAGTTTCGGAGAAGAACATCAAAAAAAATCTGGAGAAAAGTAAGCATTAATTAAATTAGTTCGTAGTGGTTTTTTTTTTTAAAAAAAAATTATAAATGTTCATTTTCATTTTGATAAATGTTCATTTATATATTAGTATACAATCATTCACATGTTAATAAATGATTAATACAAATATTTATTTATATATTACTACATAGTCATTGTAAAAATCTCCTATTGTAGATCAAGGACTTTTAAAAGATATTAAAACTTATGGTATAGATGTTAACATTTCTACAATTCCGAGGTAATATATGAACATATACTGAATTATAAATGTTCACTTGTATATTTGAATCTATTTGAGTTTATATTTGACTTTATATGCCAAAATAAAAAATGTTCATTTTTATGATACGTTATGCACATTTATGAAATGCATAAATATTCATTCATGTGAGTTGAGAAACTGACTTATGCATACTATGAAATCTTTTGATCATATATGAAATTCATAATGTTCATTTACATATATAGTAATGTAAATCAATTTAAGTATTATACTATAATCTTAGCAATTTTTATTGAAGAACTAATAAATTATATCTGTACATTCTTCAGTTTTGTTGCAGAGCGAAGGAAACCGTTTCAGAGAAGAGAAACAAATATTATAGTTCGCAGTTATTTTTATTATTATTATTATTTCTTTTTTTTTATATTTTCATAAATGTTCATTTTTCATTTTGTTAAATGTTCATTTATATGTTAGTATAACGTCATTCACATTTTAATAGATGATAAATGTTAATTTACGTATTGATAAATGTTCATTTTCAATATGTATAAATGTTAATTTACGTATTGATAAATGTTCATTTTCGTTCTTATTCATGATCAACAAGTAAATGCATTAATTTTAAAATGAATATGTGCATATACTTAAAAGTTCATTTTTATACTACTAATTAAAGCACCCAATTATATCATGAATTAGTTATTTTAACAAATTTAATAAGGAATTTCAATAAGAGTGCGTGCTATGTTGTAGTTTTCATGGAAATGATTCTTACAATTACAATAAGGAGTGAGTGCTACCTTCAAAAAATTTCAATAACAAGTACAAAATTATAAATTTTATACATTTTTCATCTATAATAATGTTCCTTAATTAAATGTTCAATTATAAATAATTGTATGTTCATTTACAACTATTAATAAAATATGTTCAGTTTTAAAATATTAT